TTGAGGGGGAGGACGGGGGGGTGGCAGAGACGTCCTTGGCTAGGCCCGAGGTTGAAGGCGGAGAGGTGGAGGGGACGGTGAGGCTGATGACGGGCGAATCGTCTCCCTCGCCTGCAGAGGATGGAAGGGATGAAGATTCTGTCCCAGGGATGCTGGGGGCGGAGGGGAGGGGAGGGAAAGGATTCCCTGACATCTGCTACATCGGTCTTTCTCAGGCCTATCAGCTTGGAAGGGGCGTGGGCTCCAATTCCCAGAATTCCCCAGCTGGCACGAGCCATCTTTACACTCCAGGAAGCATAAAATGCCACAAAGGTCTCTCGTTTCCCCCATTAGCTAGGAAACAACGGACGTCATCGCGAGAAAATGGAGTTTGGTGAAGCTAAGGAAGTTTGGATACAAGGGGCACTTGGGTGAGGCCAGTCTTATAAAAATAATAAAGGTGGGATAAAAACTAAAAGTAATAAAAGAATAGAGAACAGAGAAATGGAATAGAATAGAATAGAATAGAAATAGAATAGAATAGAATAGAATAGAATAGAATAGAATAGAATAGAATAGAATAGAATAGAATAGAATAGAATAGAATAGAATATGTGGAGTGGAATGTAATGTAATAGAATAGAATAGATGTAATGTAATGTAATGTAATGTAATGTAATGTAATGGAATGTATTGTAATGTAATGTAATGTAATGTAATGTAATGTAATGTAATAGAATAGAATAGAATAGAATAGAATAGAATAGAATAGAATAGAATAGAATAGAATAGAAAATATGGAATGGGATGGGATGGGATAGAATAGAGAAATAAGAACAGAAAGAATAGAATAGAATAGAATATAGAATAGAATATAGAATAGAATAGAATAGAATAGAATAGAAAATATGGGATGGGATGGGATGGGATGGGATGGGATGGGATGGGATAGGATAGAATAGAATAGAATAGAATAGAATAGAATAGAATAGAATAGAATAGAATAGAATAGAATAGAATAGAATAATAAGAACAGAAATAATAGAATAGAATAGAATATAGAAATGAGAACAGAATATAGAAGTAAGAACAGAATAAAGAAAGAATAGAATAGAGAAATAAGAACAGAAAGAATAGAATAGAATAGAATAGAATAAATAGAATAGAATAGAGAAATAAGAACAGAAATAATAGAATAGAATAGAATATAGAAATGAGAACAGAATATAGAAGTAAGAACAGAATAAAGAAAGAATAGAATAGAGAAATAAGAACAGAAAGAATAGAATAGAATAGAATAGAATATAGAATAGAATAGAATAGAATATAGAATAGAATAGAATGGAATGGAATGGAATGGAGGGGGGGAGAGAAGAGAAGAGAAGAGAAGAGAAGAGAATTTAAATAAAATACCTGCTGCTGCGGGGGAATCTTCAATGAGACCCACCTTAACCACCTGGAAGAGGAAGAGAGAAAACAGAGATTGTGAATCCTTCCCAAAGCAAAACTCAACAGATGATGGGCCTGCCGGTGGGAGCAAAGCCTCCCTAAGGGAGGACACTTACACAAAAACGAAAAACAAAAACCCCACCCATACAATTGGGGTATTATGGATGGATGGATGGGAGGGAGGGAGAGAGGAAGGAAGGAACGCTGGTCTTCTGCAGCTATTAGCCTGATCCTCCATTGCTCAGACGGACAATTTAGTGTGATTCTCTTTTATCACTCCAATCTTCTGCTCTCCTGTGCAAGCCACAAGGAAAAGTGCACGTTAACTGTGCAAGTGAGGCGGGGGGAAATATATATATATATATATATTTAAAACTAAACCGCTGTGACGATCCTAAAGACCGACCTGGTTTGGGGACGGGGGGTATCCGGGACAGCCCCTATTCTTGCGGACTTATTAAAATTAAAAATCATTACAAAGCTTCTGGGACTTGAATGCTGCAGAGCCCGGAGCGCCAGAAATGTTAGATCGATTTTATTTTTATTTATTTTTTTGTAATTATATATAGCTCTTTGGTTATTATTCTTATGGCATTGACTGCGGCTGTGGCTCTCGGAAAGAGCTACCTGACCTTGGCTGGACTCAAATGCTTTATGCACTCATCAATCAATAAGTATAAATAACAATGAATAAGAAGGGAGCCAGTTTGGTATAGCGGTGAAGCTGGCGGGCTAGAAACCAGGAGACGGGGAGTTCTAGTCCCGCCTAAGGCCTGAAAGACAGCTGGGTGACCTTCAGCCAATCACTAGGAGACGGTGAGTTCTAGCCCCGCCTAAAGTCCGAAAGACAGCTGGGTGACCTTGGGCCAATCACTAGGAGACAGTGAGTTCTAGTCCTGCCTAAAGTCTGAAAGCTGGCTGGGTGACCCTGGGCCAATCACTAGGAGATGGTGAGTTCTAGCCCTGCCTAAAGTCTGAAAGACAGCTGGGTGACCCTGGGCCAATCACTAGGAGATGGTGAGTTCTAGCCCTGCCTAAAGTCTGAAAGACAGCTGGGTGACCCTGGGCCAATCACTAGGAGATGGTGAGTTCTAGCCCCGCCTAAAGTCTGAAAGACAGCTGGGTGACCTTGGGCCCATCACTAGGAGATGGTGAGTTCTAGCCCTGCCTAAAGTCTGAAAGACAGCTGGGTGACCTTGGGCCCATCACTAGGAGATGGTGAGTTCTAGTCCTGCCTAAAGTCTGAAAGCCAGCTGGGTGACCTTGGGCCAATCACCGGGAGACGGTGAATTCTAGTCCCGCCTAAGGCCTGAAAGCTGGCCGGGTGGCCTTGGGCCAATCACTGGGAGACGGTGAGTTCTAGTCCCGCCTAAGGCTCGAAAGCCGGCTGAATCGCTCAGCAATGGAACGCTTGGAACTCAATTTTGGTCGTAAACTGAGGACTTCCTGCAGCCAAGGATCGTAAGATTTCCTTACCCCAATGAAAGGGATGAACTTCTGATAGGAGTCTTCATCTTGGCTGCAAACAGAGGAAAACGTCATGATGTTGATGTTGCTTCTCATCTCTTCCCCTATTCCAGGGGTCCCCAACCCCCCGCTCCGTGGACTGGTACCGGACCGCAGCATGCCAGCAACCGGTCCGCACAAACAAGCGAAGCCCCGTCCGCGGGATGCAGGCAGCACACAAAACCACGCACTCTCCGATCCGTGGAAAAACCTCTCTCTACGGAACCGGTCCCTGGTGCCCCAAAGGTTGGGGGCCTCTGCCCTACTTGACGTTTTTCAACCATACACTATTATTATTTGAGATGTGTTGGCCATTCGAGGATATATTTCATTTCTTAAATTGGAGGATGGCGATCTCTTGCTGTCCATTTTTATATCTTCCCTTGTGCTTGTAGTGCTATGCCTTTTATGTTCCCCCTGAAAACAGGAAAGGAAAGGAAAGGAAAGGAAAGGAAAGGAAAGGAAAGGAAAGGAAAGGAAAGGAAAGGAAAGGAAAGGAAAGGAAAGGAAGATAGACGAAGGAAAGGAAGGAAAAGGAAAGGAAGATAGAAGAAGGAAAGGAAAGGGAAGGAAAGAAGACAGATGAAGGAAAGAAAAGGAAGATAGAAGAAGGAAAGGAAGATAGACGAAGGAAAGGAAAGGAAAAGGAAAGGAAGATAGATGAAGGAAAGGAAAGAAAGATAGAAGAAGGGAAAGGAAGGAAGATAGATGAAGGAAAGGAAAGGAAAGAAAGATAGAAGAAGGAAAGGAAAGGGAAGGGAAGGAAGACAGATGAAGGAAAGGAAAAGAAAGAAAGATAGAAGAAGGAAAGGAAAGGAAGATAGATGAAGGAAAGGAAAGGAAAGAAATATAGAAGAAGGAAAGGAAGACAGATGAAGGAAAGGAAAAGAAAGATAGAAGAAGGAAAGGAAGATAGATGAAGGAAAGGAAAGAAATATAGAAGAAGGAAAGGAAGACAGATGAAGGAAAGGAAAAGAAAGATAGAAGAAGGAAAAGAAAGGAAAAGAAAGGCGTGCCTGGCTGAGGAATTCTGGGAGTTGAAGTCCACATAAAAGGGCCAAGTTGGAAGACCCCTACTGTAGGAGACCACCCTCCTCTTAGTTTCCAGGAGTTGCAGTGAGGAGCCATCGCAGAGAGCTGCCGGCTCAAAAGCGTGTCATGATCTGATTGACCGACTTGGCAAACCGGTCCTGGTTCATCACACCAGATACCTTTGCTCCCCATTTTTTATTTATTCCCCTTCTTGAAACCAGCCTCTCGCCAGAACCGTCCTGAAGCTTTGATCGGGAACTCACAATTTGTGTTTGCAGGTCAACATGGCCTCCGCCACAGGCAGCTGGTGAGTGACGTTGGCTCCGTTCACGTACTGGGTGATCCGGCCCACCACATCCAGGGGGTCTGAGGAAAAAGAACGGATCACGATGATGGAAGAGGAAACCTGGAGCCTCTATTTCCCTTTCCGGG